TAATAATAATAAAATAAATAATAAGATACAATATCGGAATAATAACTAATAAAATAATAAACTGTTCTATAACACCACCATATCTGCACGCTCATGACTGTCTATGTATATTCCCTTCCTAACTTCTGAGTATTCAAAACTAAATGTTTTTAACCACTTATAGGCTGTTCTTACACATATGGTTGGAGAAGGATCAAAGCAAAGACTTGGAAGTATCTCCTCATTTACATGTTTTGCTAGTTCATTTGGATTTATATTCCATTTGTTGGATTGAAAGAAGGACTTAATTTGTATTAAAATATCATCATCTCATAAAAAACTCCAGGTTTTTGGGTGTTTACCTTGTCTTAAAATTGGAAATGCACTATTTTTAATATAATTTATTGCCCATGAACGTATACAATGGGCATGATAAACACCCTTCACAGCTGCTTCTGCTACTATAATACTTGCTTCTATTTTTTTTTGATCACGTTCTACAAGTCAAAAATAAGATAGCATTGTATAAAGGCATGCCTTTTCCACCTCACTATGCTTATTTCTTTTAATTTCATTTTCCAATCTTTTAATAGTATCACCCAACTTCTTAAAGCATATAATGCTATGACCTTCAGCAGTTTCAACTTCAAACCCGTCTTTAATAATTTCAGAATCACTATCTAAATCAATGTTATCCAGATTTGTATATGCATTTACTGTCTTTTCAAAATAAAATAAATAAATATTTATTCATATTATAGTTTACTAGCTAAAATGATTTAAAAATAACTTACTGGTGACCAAAATAATTCTAGCTTGGGTGTTCCAACAGCAGCTTTCTTCTGCATTTGTCTTTGCCACCTTTTTGTTCTCACAGAATTTCTAATATACACAAGTGGATGATGAGTAATTACTTCTGGAATTGCTTGCATTAATTTTGTAATAACATTGTTTGCTTCTTCAACTCTCAAAATGCTTATTTCTCCATCACTATCTTCAGTATCATTAAATTTACTACCACCATTGCTATGATTTTCTGAAGTTTCAACTTGGCATCAGTTTTTAGCTTTCTTTTGCCTTCGAGACTTTTGTAAGCAAGCTCTTCTTTTAGATAATCATACCATTTTTATGTGCTAAAAATCAATGATTATTAGACCTTATTTGCTTGCTTTTCATGTAATGTTAATTTGTTATTTAATTACCTTTTTTTCTTTTTCTTTTTTTTTCTTTTTTTTTTATTTTTATTTTTATTATTTTTTTTTTTGATTACACACTTCTGATATTATCATGAATTGAGTTATACTTGAGATAAAAAAATAACTTTAACTGCTTGTACCCTTTTATATTTATACTATGCTTACAAATTACGTAAACACTATCCATAAATCATATGATGCCTTTTGTGATTTTTTCATAGAGCCTTGAGTGTTATCATCAGGTAGGATAATTTTTCTCACTACAACTTAAATACTTGCTTATTCTCGATTACTCTTTTTTTCCACCTTTCTGCTCTATAGTTTGCTAATCAAAATTCTGTTTACTAATCCAAATTCATAATCGTTATTTACCAGATGTTGAATGGGTTAACAAATAGGATTTTACTTATATGAAACTTAACATTGCTCTTTTTATTTTGTTCAACTTATTCACAACCATATACAGTATAGCATTAGGTAAGACTTAATTTTTTATTTCGGTTTGCATCTTTTTGACCTTACAGTACTAATGATAATTTTCATATTTTTAATTGACTATTTTTGTTTCAGAATTCAAAGTATTTAGAGAATTTTGACATACTTATCGTTATACTGTCACTTTTGAGATGCTCAAAAAAATTTGTATTTTATTCATTATTTTCGTGAGAACTTTAGTCACCTATCCATTTATATAGATATAGCATTTACTCTATTTTACTATGGATTATGACTATATATAATGCATCATTACATATTTTTAATGCATGATTACAGATTCGGTAATTAGATTATGTACGGTGCAAGAAATTTAAAACCTCAACCTTAGAACAAAAAATGACCAACATATTGAAGATAAGCTAAATTTAGTAACAGCTTATTTTAAGTTTCAGCTGTATGCATAAAACAGCTCCTATTAAGTATATATTATTCTTGGTGTATTATTGCCCATCATTCTATTGAGCTTGATAATTTAAGAAATTTATTCTTAATAAACTACTTTTTTATGCATCATCTTAGAATGAAGATTGAGGTTTTTAAATTTCCTGCACCATACATATATACGTACTATCGATCATATATTTCGACCAATCAGTGGCCTTATTTTGCGGTCACATGAGCAGCCAAATTTCCGGTTTCATTAGTAAAGTCAACCAACTTTAAAAGAATTCAACACAATAAAAATTTAATAAATCAAAAAACAAATTCTATGCCTTATTCCTTAAGTCTTATTTTATATTTTTATAGAAAAAAAAACAGTTTAATTATATAGTTATTTTTTTATAACAATTTAAAAATTGTCTATTTTATATGCTGATTTAAGAATTTCTGCACTGTACTAACATGATATAGCAGATAATTCATTACCAAAATGACCAATACAATTCAAACAGCTAGATAATAAATTTGAAATTGCTTTGTGGCTAGCGCACTATAAAAGGATATTAGATTTGGCAACTAATATTAGAAACGGGATGATGACAAGAATAAATGAAGTGTCTGATGCAATTTCAACATCTACTCTATCACGTGAACCTGTATCAAAACTTCCAGAAATTGACCAAGTAAGATCAACTTATAGAGGATTCTGGATCGAAAGGTATTGAAATCCTGATCAGCTGTAAAAAAAATGTCTGGCTAACAATTTTGCTATAGACTGTACTAACCCGGATTGCTAGCTCTGATGCTTTTGACCCAGAATTTCAGTGATCCTCCTATATGATAAAAGAAAGGGGCATAATACATAGTAAAATTATGTAATAAATATCTTGTGCTACGATACGGAATTTAGTTCATAACCATAATTTTGAGCTTTTTTTGATCAGAAATTTTTGAGGTTTTGAATCATACAATTCGGGTCTATCACCACCAGTAACAAAATAAATTCATTCTAATAATTATACTAATTTTTTATTTTAAATTATATAGCACATTAAATTCTAATTACAGGAAGAGTGCTTTGCACTCTTCCTTAGAACTAGGAATAACAGTACGGTTTTATATGAAAAGTTAATCGTGCAAGTTTGCAACATTGCAAAAACTAATCACAGGTTAGAATCTTTAATCAAGGATGTTGGCAGCTGGTATAATATATACCGTTATAAGTTTCATATTGCTGCAGTAAAGTTGGCGAATGAATTTAGATCACTAAATGAAAGGTTTGTAATAATGATAAATGAATAATATTTAATGCTTTTTAATATTAAACAAATGATTCTATCCAATTAAAAATAGCATGATAAATCCATATGAAGAGTTAGATGAATTTGTTTCTAACGAAGTATAGAACCTGTTACTGCAAATGCATCTGAGGGCGACTGATCAAGCAAAGTTAAACAAAAACGCTGAAACTTTAAAAGTGCTTGGTGTTTTTGTATGCCAGATTATTAAAGCCATTCTCATTGCTCAAGACAATCATAGAGATACACAAAATGTTATCCAAAAATTCGATGAATACATTATAGATCTGGAAATACCAACTAGACTTGGAGTAGTAAAGTCGTTAGCAGTGCGGGAACTTCTAAGTTATTAAAATTAACTGCTTTATTCTGTAAATCTCATGCTACTATATAGCTTATTTAGCATATTATACATTGTATGAAAAAAAAATATATATATATTAAATAATACAAGTTAAAAAATTTGTTAAAAAAAATATTCATCAACTTCTTTTATATCTTTTTATTATTTATTATTTAATGTTATATCCAACAACTGCGAATGGTTATAATTAGGTGTTGACAAGCGAAAATAGTGATTGAACCCGTCTTAAAAAATACAACCCGGGTTACCCGACGGGTAGACCCGCGGGTCACCCGGGTAGACAG